CTCTCTGCCAAAGACCTCCTTTCATTTCACATATGAAATGATACCAAAAAGCATGTCTGTGTAACACAATTTGCAGCGGTGGCCCTTTCATATCTGTGAGCAAATCAAGGCAATGGGGAAATGATGTCATCACAGCAGGGCTAAGAGTGTGATGTCATCATGACAGCAGTTCGCTTTAAGTGCTGGCGAGACAGGCCAGGCTCTGAACTAGAGTTCTCTTTTTAGTCACAGGGCAGATACAGCATGATCAGCAGCGAGGCAAGCCCTGCAAATAAGGCTCAATCACTGACCTGGAGGGACTCTCCTCTGGGGGGCGAGAGGAGAGGTCAGTCTCCATGACCTTGGCTAGGACTGCTGACAAGCGAGACAGTTAATGTAATTGCATTAGTGGGGGTCGCATATTGTAAATAACTGGTTAATAGAGCTGGGCAAATATCCAACACATGGCATACGCTACCTTCTGTGTGTGCAATGATGATGATTATCTGCGAGTGCAGAGTGGAATGGTGGGAAAGGGATTCAGTACTCCATTCGGGGCCCGTGTAATATGGTGGTCAGGGGACTGGAGTGGGGAGCACATTAATTAACCCTTTCCTCTTTGTGTGTCCCTTTTATCCGAGGGTTGATGATTCCATCACCTTCTCTGATGAGTGTATGAGCAGCTGGATGCTGGGGGCTAGATCCTTAACTGTGTTGTGGTTATGTTCAATGCAGCTGGCCTTATGCCACCGTTCCATTCCCCTGATACTGGGGCTATCAGGGAGTTGACATGGTTCCTAGTCTTGACACAGCCTGGAGTGGTCACACACAGAGACCTCGCCGTCGGCTGGAACACTGTGTGGTGCCTTTGTGCTTTCCTGCCCCAGTGCACCTATGTGGGGATAAGATGGCTCGACACCAGCTGAGGTTTTTCCCAGACTGAGGAAGCTTTAAAACCCCTTTGTGCCCGATGGGAGACTTAAGTAGGACTGAAAGGTATGACCCTAGATATCTACTAACACACGGACACAGGCAGCTTTGCAAATGCAGGCACTCTTTTGATGCTCACAGCAGCTGGCATAACATGTTAACAGGCTCATAGACTCCATGGTCCTGTTGACACCATGTCACCTGGCAGGCCGGCCTTACCGCTCACTGAAAGTTTGCAGTGCTGTAGCACCTTGCATCTGAGGCACTTAATGCACTCTGGAAACATTAGTAAACGTAAATTCACCCCCTTCCCTACGCAATGGGCATAATTGTTCCCATTCAATAGATTTTTGGGGCATAGTCACACCCCACGGTCATTCTCATATTGATTGGACATGGTCAACCCTCATGCTCACTCTGAGTGATATAGGTGTGGTCACACCCTATGCAAACTCTCACAAGTTCACGGGAGCGTCTTCCGTCCCCTGGGGCTCTCTCACATATGGATGTGGGCGTGGTCACCCTCACACATTGATGTGAGCACAGTCCATCCCCTCATTGACTCTCACATTGATGTGGGCATGGCAATTCCCCCTGCTCACTCACATGCTGTGGGCGTGGGTTACTCCCCAGGCTCACTCGTTGCTGTGGGTGTGGTCAGACCGTGCTCACGTTAGCGTGCGAGTGGTTACGCCAAATGTTCACTCTCACACATTGATATGAACATGCTTCCTCCCGCTCACAAACTGATGTGGGTGTGGTGAGTCCCCACACTATTCTTACACATGGATGGGGGTTGGGGTCAGTCCCCTCACTCACTCTGAGGTAGATGTGGGTGTAGTCAGTCTGCATGCTCGCTCATTGACTTAGCTGTGGATGTGGTCGCTCCCTATGCTCACTCACACACACAGATGTGGGTACGGTTGCTCCCAACCTTCACCGTCATATTGATGTGGCATGGTCACTCGCCAGGCGCACTCTCACTGATGTGGGTCCCCATTCGCAGTCACCTTAGTGTCAGCATGGTTACTCCCCATGTTCGCTCTCACACACTGGCATGGGTCTGGTGACCCAATGCTTACTATCACACGTTGATGAGGGTGTGATCATTTCCCACATTCATGTTCACAACTCAGAGTGGGCATGGTCAGTCCCAGCCTCATTTTCACATTGATGTGGACATGGTTAGAGCCTTGTTGGGATACAAAATTTGTATCCACATTCGATCTGTGATCTGCAAAAATGGGCTGTGAATATCCACAACCGCATCTGCTCATATTGGTGTGGGTGTGGTCAGTCCCCATGCTCACTCGCACACATTGGTGCGGGCATGGACTGTCTCCATGCTCACCTGCACACATCCATGTGGGCGTGGTCAGTCCCCATGCTCACTTGTAGCCATTGATGTAGGCGTGGTCCATCCCCATGCTCACGTGCACATGTTGGTGCAAGTGTGGTTACTTCCCACACTCACTCTGGCCTAGTTTACACCTAAAACTTAGAGAGACAAGGTGGGCGAGGTATCTCTTTATTGCACCAACTGCTGTTGGTGAGAGGGAAAAGCTGTGTGTGACTTGAAAGCTTGTTTCTCTCACCATTAGAAGCTGGTCCAATGAAAGATAATATCTAAGTCATGTCAGTTCCAGGCGATCTAAAACTTAGGTCAGCCTAACTGCATTGCTCAGGGCTGTGAAAAATTTCACGTGCGGTGCAATGTAGTTAGGTTGACCTAGCCCCCTCCTATCTATATCTCATAGAACTGGAAGGGACCCTGAAAGGTCATCGAGTCCAGTCCCCTGCCTTCACTAGCAGGACCAAGTACTGATTTTTGCCCCCGATCCCTAAGTGGCCCCCTCAAGGATTGAACTCACAACCCTGGGTTTAGTAGCTAGGTTGATGGAAGAATGTGCAGCTGTAGGGGCTTGTGGTGTGGACAGATGCTGTGACACAGCGATGTTGTATGGGCAGTCCCCACACTTATTCTCTCACATTGATGTGGGCGCTGTCACTCATGTTCATTTTCATATTGATGTGGATGACATTGATGTATGTGCTCAGCCTGTGCTCACTGTCACATATTCATGTGGGCGTGGCCACTCCCCATACTCACTCTCACACATTCGTGTGGGTGCAATCTGTCTGCATGCTCATTCTCGTGCACTGATGTATCTTTCTGTTGACCTAGCTCCATCTACACTGGGGTTTAGGTTGGCACAGGTGGCCCTCACGGATGTGGAATTTTCACACCTCTGAGCTCTGTAGCTATGTTGACCTAAGCTTTAAGTGTAGCCCAGGCCCTGGTGTTTGAAGACATGTATTGATAGTGTAGAGGCCATTGCATTACCAGCTTGCCTCTGCTCTTTAATAGCTCTTTTGATAACTACTGGATTGGAATATTGATGGAAAAGTATCCCCTTGTCAATATGCAGTTGAACTGTTACCTACTCAAGTGCTGGTAAATTATCAATAGAAGTACAGTACGTATCATAGAGTGAAAGGAGCCATTAAGGGGTAAAATCTACCGTGATGCATGAGACCAGCATGAGGCCTGTATGGCATTGTATTTCTTCTTAAGACTTCAACATGGGGATTACGACATAAGTGGTGTATGTGGCCCTCTGCTCAGGGGGAATTAATAGAGATACTAATTATCTTGTAACACTGGATGAATTATCACTATCTACTTATTTTCCTTTCAATGAACCTGGCTTTGAAAGCACAAGCAGATGAGACTGGGGGCAAGAAAGGGTGGTTGTAGATGCAACATTTGTGAGGCATATATTGTGTGAGTGTGTGTGTGAGAGGGAGTATTTGTGTGTCTGTGTGTCATCTGTATAACCCTTCAGTGGAATTTCCCCCGGGGAAAAGACACCACTGACACCGAACTCAACACTGCTAGCACCAAGGCCTTACACAAAGCCACCCTGAAAGTAGTGTGGGTTGCTTTTTTAGGGTGGAGGGGTGGTGGATTTGAAGAGTCAGTAAAAATAAATGGAGAACGAACATTTCTAAACTGATAGCAAATATCTGGTAAATATCACAAATTAACAGGGGGAAAAAATCACATGAAATTAAAGAGAGGCAAACAAGTTAGCTCAGGTCCTCTGCTGCAGCCAAAGAGCACCCGGCACAGCTGATTTGCTGAAAAAGTGGCTTTGAATCACCTTTGCATAACTCCAAGGGACACTGTTGTGGCCAGATATTGTTAGGGTGTTGGGATATCCCTACACTCCTTTTCCCCTGGCCATGCCCCTATGCTTAGGTCAGGGGGGTGGTTCTGGAGCCACTGCAGGTGTTGTATATAGGACTAGTCAGTGCATTTTTATCAAAAAGGTTTTTCAACCAAAAAATGACTTTTTGAATAATACCCGCAGTTTTACAAACGTTTTCATATTGATTTACATTTTCTGATTTTTCAGTGAAATGATGCAAAATAAGAAAAAAACCCAGTTTGAATCAAATTGTATATAAACAAAAAAAAAGTTTTTTTTCTTCTCCTTCTGAAAAAACCCAAATAAATAAGTAAGCCCTAGAAAAAAGGTGCTTCAAATCAAATCAAAATTATTTTTTATTGGTTTCAAATCAGTTCCAAACGAACGTTCGTTTCAGATCATTCCATCAAACAATGGGGACATTTTGGGGGGAAATGTTAAGGGAAATGCAATTTTATTTCATTGGCTATTTTCCACAGAAAAGAATTCAACATTTTTGCGCAGCCCTAGCTGGATTCCGCTGAAGAAACTTCCTGTGTAGGGGAGAACCTCATGAGCCTGAATCCACCAGGTTAAAACAACTTTGTTCTGGGGTCTGCTGTGAAGTTGCTAAATTGAAGGACAGGATCTGACTTCTGTATGAAGTGAATATGCAAAATAACACACATACACACACACGCATATAAACAACAGTGTGGTCGTTTTGCCACATTGCTGCCCCATGGAGATAAGGGTGCTGCTCTAGCACGTGCTCGACTCTTGACAGGCCTTGCCCAGCCTAGAGAAGGGTGGGTGAGCTGCTATCAATGAAACGAGCTTTCACTGCATGTGTAAAATTCTTTATCTGACTCCTTTTTTTCTCTCCCTTTCTCTTTAAAGGTTGAAAAAAATGATGACGTTGACCAAAAGATTGAGCAAGATGGCATCAAACCAGAGGATAAAGCTCATAAGGCAGCCACCAAAATCCAGGCCAGCTTCCGCGGACACATAACAAGGAAAAAGCTCAAGGGGGAGAAGAAGGGAGATGTCCAAGCGGCCGATGCTGAGGCTGCTGAGAAGAAGGATGAGGCCCCGTCTGATGGTGTGGCAGAGAACAAAGAGAGCGACGCTCCTGCTGCCACAGAAGCTACTCCGTCTGACAGCGCCCTGCCTGCAGAGGGCAGCAAAGATGGCAGCACTCCCTTGGAGGAAAAGCAGGGGGAAGGCACTGCTGACGCTGGCTCCGAGCAGCCAGCCCCGCAGGCAGCCACTCCCGCCTCCTCCTCCTCGGAGAAGCCCGCTCCCGTTGCCACCGAAACGGAAAGTGCCACTAAAGCTTCCACTGATAACTCGCCGTCCTTGAAGGCTGATGAAGCCCAAGACAAAGAGGAGCCTAAACAAGCCGATGTGCCTGCTGCTGTCACCACCACTGCTGCAGAGGAAGCTACTGCCAAGGCAACAGCACAAACGGAGACGGCGGAGAGCAGCCAAACCGAAGAGAAGACAGGTAAGTGGACGTCAAGGAGCAGGGCTCTCTCTAAATGGACTGTGAAATGCCCCTTGGCTCCCTGTGGTTCCCTGGAGTGTCAAAGATAGAGTGGTAAGAAGTTAGTAAGTGAGGAAGAAAGGTGGGTAATGACCAGTCCAGTCATCTTCGTGTTTCAGGGAAAGGTGAGAGAGATTTTCATAATAGACCCCTGAGCTTGTGGAAATACCTAAGGAAGCTGTATGATATGGGATATGGCTAAATGGGCGTGAGGGAGGAGACGGACTCCAGTGCAGGGAATCTTTTGAGTGTAACAAGAGTCTGAATCCAGATCTATGGTGAAAGCAGACTCTGAAGGGATTTTTTTTTTACCCTCATTTACCTTGGGCCTGCCCAGAGACAACCGCCTGAATTCATGGCCTGAACTTTGATTCTTTAGGACTGATCCTCCACTGTTTTGCCCTTTGTGTCAACATTTACACCTGTGCAAAGTGGGTGTAAAATGCCATCACTGGTGTGAGCAACCGGGGAATCTTGATTTGGTAGAATTTTACACCCACTCTGCACTCACTTGGCACAGGTGTAACATCCCTTTCGTTTGGATGTTATCATCCCCTTTAATAGTGAGGACGAACATGCATCAGCTCCATTGTAATAACCAGAGCTAAGTAATTTATTACAGCAGATATTGATTTGATTATTTTCATCTATTTTGTTCGCCGGTTGTCAGTGAACTGTTTACAATATTCTTGCACCTAATCGGTATTCTAAATTATTTGCAAATTTCTTCAGTAAATATTTCTTGGCCTGCAGATCATTGGAATTGTGAACATTACAATTGAATATACAATTTGCAGTTCACGCTCTTAACGTAAGTAAATAGCTTAGCTTGCCAACACAGAGTGAGTTGTAAATTTCACCATTGCATATACACTTTTTAAAATTAGCTTTCAGTGAATATTTGAATATTCAAGCAAAACATTTGCTTTTTATTCATATTCATTCGATATTCTTGCTAGCGGAACTCAAGCTCTTGAGTGTTTTCAAAAGCAAATGCAGAAGGTTTGTGACCACGGTCAAATCAAGATTCCCTTTGGAATGCTAATGAATATTGGTAACAAAATTTCCTTTCCCACTATTTGATCAGCTTTTCCAATCACAAATTCACACAATTGGTGTGTCCTAGGATCACAGAAATTAGAGTGGAAAAAAAGATCCAATATGTCTTTTTATCCATTTCCCTGATGTGGGATTGTTCCCTGCAATATGTATTTAGGCGTGGCAGAATTTGATTTTTATTTTTTTATAATTTTGACTGTCAATATCCATGTTTATTTGTAAGCCTTTTTCAATTTTTATTAATTTAAATGTTCACAGTTTTGGGGAATTATGTGTGTGTGTGTGGGGTCAGATAATTATTTAATGATGGTAGATACTGAGATTCAAAAAGTTAAGGCTTTACAACCATTAAAACACAAATTGTCAACATCATGTGTCAAAATATACAAAGCAAATAGCCTTAAATCAAACTCTAAGTTCTCAAGTGACATTTTTCTTATTCTGCCTATCTGTCATATTTTATGATTATTGATGGAAATATTTTTTCATCTGTTTGTGTGCATAAGGTGAAATCGACGTTTTCTAATCCTTCCAAGTCTAAATATGTTCCACAGTACTTTGCCTAGTCTAGTTGTGAAGGGCTTTCACAACAATAGGGCTACCACAATGGATCTTCCAGTGTTTCCTAGATCTCACGGCTAGGAACTGTTCCCTGATACACAGCCTACATTTTTCTTTTCCTAATTGCATCCTATCACTCCCCCATGTCCCTCTAAACAATGCTTCTCCTTCCTTAGCATTTACTCCCTTTCTAGACTCATAGACGGTGACCATGTCCCTCCAGTCATCATTTAGTTATGCATTATCCTGCCAACTCCCAGCAGTGCTGTGGTGGCTTGGTCATCCATGAAAGAGCGAGGACTACTAAACATCTGTCACTCCAGCACTCTGCCAGTCCAGGGACCGATCTCTCCAGCTTTTCTCAAAATCTCCTCTTTCAGCTCTATCAGGCTATTTCTCCCTGAAGTCATTCTCTTGGCTTTCAAAGTTCATCTTTTATCATTTCTGTGGTCGAAGACTAGCACCGAACTATGCAGTGTGAGGCTGCCAAAAATAAATAAATCAAATTGGCTACTGGCCAGCGTCGTTGGTTGGCTCATTGCCATGGCACGCTTGGCTGCTACTACTATGAAGAGTAAGTGCAGGTCATTCCACATTTGTGTTGTGTTATTCATTTGGGTAGAATTTTGCTACACTCATCACCTCATCTATGGGTATTTTCCTGTGGTACCACTAGCAGTGGATGAGGGCATTTGACCTACATCCTTGGGAGGTCTTTTGCCTCTGCATCTGAGTGAAAGAAAGAAAAGGAAAGACAGAATGAATGAATGAGTTAATCAATTAACTAAATTGCATTACCTATAGTGCTTAAAATTAAACATTTCTGCAGTGAACAGCAAGTGGGGCGGCTCCTCCAGAACAGTATTTACTCCACTAACACACTCATCATCCCCTGACTGTTCAGCCCTAGACACTCTATTAATCTTGTCTTTTAGGTAACTGCTTTGGAAACTGGCTTTAACCAAGCAATCCGGTGTCCAGTATTAATTTACTTGGTGCCTCAGGGTTCCCTGAATTTTTATTATAAAGCACCTTCTGATTAGGGCTGCTGGACCATGAAGCAAAGATGTGAGGTTCTACCCAGGATAAGGCATGAATGAGACATGGGGCCAAATTCAGAGGCTGACCTAAGTTAGAAACCTAGACCCCCTCACACCCCTTCCCCTGTGTGTAGGTGTATGTTGATGTCACTTACAAGCTGAGGAGCTGGGAGAAGATGTAAGTTAAACTAGGAGGTGGCCTACTTAAATTTACACTTCCTCATACTCTCCTGTTTGTTGCTTTTCTTGCCACATTCCTGGCTTCTGACCCTTCAACTCTGTCCTACTCAGTGGGACAAAGTCAGCGGGGAAGTGTAAGGAGTATCTACATTACATATTGGTAAGGAGGTGCATGTCTAAGGCCTAGTCTGTACTACAAAGTTAGGTCAACATAAGTCGCCTTGCATTCACCTATATGTGCATGTCTCTGCACTCAGATTTGTCTCCCGGTGATGTAAGTGCCTGTTACAACGACACAGTAAAACCGCTTCCCCAAATGGCATGGAACCATTGTCAATCTACTGAGGTCAATGCAGTCCAAGTGCAGACACCTGTGTCGACCCTAACAGTCCTCCACAGTGCCCCATTCCCTGAGACAGTGATCGCTTTGGTCACAATTTTAAACTCTGCTGTCCAAGGGTCATAGAGACCAGAAGCCACCCATGACCCCACCCCTTTAAGGCCCCTGCATATTTTTGAAATGTCTTTTCCTGATTGCCCACCTTGTAAGCACACCAAGCGTCTCACCTTTGTTGAGTGCAACAGGCGCCCCACCAACCATGCCGGCTCCACGCACACCGAGAGATACTGGATGCGCTCCTGCCTGGACTACACTGGAAGTACTGGATCTCCTGGGCCTGTTGGGAGAAGAGGCTGTGAAGCACAACTATTGACCACCCATAGAAATGTGGATACCTATGAGCAGAATGCAGGGGGATACAGGGAAAGGGGTACAACAGGGATCAGCAGAAGGAATTTTGCCAGGGATATCACAAGGCCAGGGAATGCAGTAGATCTGGTGCTGAACTGCAGACCTGCTGCTTCTACAATGAACTGCATGCCGTACTTGGCAGAGACTCCACGGGCACCCAGCAGAACACCGTGGAACCTCAGAGAAGCCCAAGACAGTGACCCCTGCTGTGATGTGTCGAGGAGGGAGATGTGGCTGGGAACTCCAGCCATGCTGTGAACCAGGACCCGTTTGAAATTCTGCCACAGTGTAGCCAGTCCCGCCAAGCAAGTGCGGATGAGCCTGATGAAGGGGAAGGGAATTCAGGTAAGTGTGTGCATGCATTTTTCCTTAAACTGTTGACATTTAAAGATGGCGCCCGGCCCATCCCCAGGTTACTAAGACACAGGTATCAACTTTTCATTGTTTTACTCATATGAGAAGAGGTAGTGGTACAATAAACAGAGGTAGAGTTGGCATCTGCTTTTCATACCCCTATTGGACTAGGTGGCGGGGTGAATGTGTTCATGCAGAGCTCTTTGTTTAGGTATATAGGAATGTCCCATATATCCTCCTGAGAGGTCTCCATGAAACTTGCATGGAGGTCCTTTGCAATCCTCTCCTGAAGGTTTCTAGGGATGGCAGCCTTATTTCTTCCTCCATGGTAGGACACTTTCTCACGCCACTCTGCAATGAGTTCAGTTGGCACCACTGCAGTCCACAGGTAGCAGCATACAGACCTGGGTGGCTTAAGGATGCTAGCAGCAGCTGTGCTCTCTGTGCCTTTATGACCATCAGGAGTGAGATACCAGCTAAAATCACCACTGGCTGTGGGAAATGGTGCCAATATCCAGTGCCATTGTCCTATACTCGTACCCTGAAATAGGGACTGGAATAGGGTCTGAAATGTTATAGCTTCATGCAACAGATAATCCTTGCCCACTCCCATCGCCCCTGGTGGGCCATACTCACCCTGGCTGGGGCTGGAGAGCAGTGCTGTGCAGAGGCGCTCCAAAGCTGAAGTGTCAATAAGCATTTCTCATTAAAAGTGTTTGTGGGAATCAGGGAAGGGTGTTTTGAAATTTATCTTTCCCTTTCCCATGTGGCTGTAAATCCAATGGTACATCTGTCTGTTTTTATCAGCAGCTTCTGGCATGGCAGCCTGGAGGGATGCCCCTGCCACACCCGCTGAATGCCTGGCCCTGATGAGCAGGAAAAAGAAGAGGACTAAGGAGAACACATTCAGCAAGTTCCTGCAGGCCGTGCTGCATCAGCCCATGAACGAAGGGCCTGGAAGGCCAATATGATTGACAGTATGGAGAAAGACAGAGAGGAAAGGAAAAGTCCAGGAG